AGCTTTGCTCCCATTTTCCACATCTTTTCACAATTAAGGCTGGATGGCTCAATGGCTCAACTATAAATTCTCCTTGTTTTAGCAGTCTTAATGATGATAGTCACCAGTTGGTGCAGGGGTGCTGCCAACATGAAAAAAATCCTTAAGAAAACAGCATCAGAATTCCTGGATTTCCTCCAGTTAGTCACGGAGAGATCTAGTCTGGGTCAGTCATCACTCTCTTCCTTAAGACCATGCATATCTTATTTGACAAAAATGTACGTTTAAACATTTATTAAATATTTTCTTCAAACCCTTCTGCTGAAGCTTGCTAAGAAGTGTCTCCAGCCTCTGCAAATTGTGCCATGCAGAACCTGAACATATAAAAATACATCTATATATGGACTGATTGTCAGCTGATCTCCAAATATCCCTAAATTGAAACACCCACAACAACCACCTGCAAAATACATTAAAGCTTGTATTGTATAAGCCAAACCCATTCATTCATACATTCATATCCAAGTGGTTTGCAAAGTGCTGTTTTGCATTGTCTTTTCAGCCATAGGCAACTGAATATAGCCACTAGCTGAAGCCGATATATAAAACCACTGAGCGCCTGCCCTGGCATTCAATCTCTTTATTCTGGCAACCATACTTATTTTGGCAGTTGCCAGGAGAACGGTACTTGACTCTGACTGCATTTTGCCAAGTGTAAAGTTTGGTGGACGGGGGGATTATGGTGTGGGGTTGTTTTTCAGGAGTTGGGCTTGGCCCCTTAGTTCCAGTGAAAGGAACTCTTAATGCTTCAGCATCAAGAGATTTTGGAGAAGTTCATGCTCCCAACTTTGTGGGAACAGTTTGGGGACGGCCCCTTCCTGTTCCAACATGACTGCGCACCAGCACACAAAGCAAGGTCCATAAAGACATGGATGAGCGACTTTGGTGTGGAAGAACTTCACTGGCCTGCACAGAGTCCTGACCTCAACCCAATAGAACACCTTTGGGATGAATTAGACTGGAGACTGTGAGCCAGGCCTTCTTGGCCAACATCAGTGTCTGACCTCACAAATGCGCTTCTGGAAGAATGGTCAAAAATTCCCATAAACACACTCCTAAACCTTGTGGAAAGCCTTCCCAGAAGAGTTGAAGCTGTTATAGCTGCAAATGGTGGGCCAACATCATATTAAACCCTATGGATTAAAAATGGGATGTCACTCAAGTTCATGTGCGTGTGAAGGCAGACGAGGGAATACTTTTGGCAATATAGTGTATATTAAAATTATGAATAAAGAAATCAACCTGTTATTGCATAGTTCTATTCAGATTTATCTCATGACTGTTAACATGGATATGTTAAAGAGTTAATGAAGCTAAAGAGTATTGTTAGGCAGAGGAAGCAAAGTTAAATAGTTTAAGTCTTTGTAGTTAGCAGTATCATCAGTAGTGTGAGTGGTACGAAGGTGAGGCTCCATGGTTGTCATACTGGTCCAGAGGGTGGGTGAGCAGGGGTACCCAATGAAGGCAAATTAAGGAACATTATCAGACTGCACAGGATGGGCAGTTGTTCAGCTCAGCAAATAACATGCAGACAGTTCTGTTAAGAGAGACTGATTACAGTATACAGTATTAGCAGAGTCCAGCAGTGACTCTGGCAGGCCTAACTTTTAGAGGGCTACCTGATATGTCCACACCCTTGGCTCCACCATTAACAAAGTTAAGTGAATGCATGAGAGGAGCACCAGCATTCTCAGTTTACCATAATGCTCTTTGACCGTGAACCGGCAAAACTAATTACCAAAGCCTTGACTGGACAAATTAGTTTTTAGCCTAGACTTAAAGAGTGAGGCTCTGTCTGAGTCCCTGAACTCATGGACTGGAAGGCTCTTCCAAAGCTATACCCCTGATGTAACTTTATTATCTCTAGGTACTGATAGTAAGCTAGCACCTTGTGATCTAAGAGGGTGTGACTGTTCATAATAAGATCTCGGTTTAATCAGGTAATGAGGCTGTTTTGAGCTTTATACATCATTAAAAGTAATTTGTACTCAGTGCTTAATTTTAATTGCAACCAGAGAAGAGTTGCTGAAACTGGGCTGATATGGTCAAACTTTCTAGTTCTTGTAAGGACAGCATCTGGAGGAGGACAGGACATGAAGATGAAGGAGTAATTATGTTTATATATACGTCAAAGAACAAAAAGGGATTGATCCTGAAACTAAGTCTTTTTTACTGATTTATATGATGGAACTGAGAAGCTATTAAGATTAAGCATGAAATTAGTTTGTTTCTAGCAGTTTTAGGACCAAGAAGAACCTTTTTGTCCACTTTGGGCAGGAGGAAATTACTCAATAACCAATTTTTATTTACTCAATATCCAATTTTTAATCCATTATAACATAATTCTTTATTAGTCCCACAGTGGGGAATTTCTGAAGTCATTTTATGTCCTAAAACAGAGACTTGTGGAACACCATCATTTTTATACCAATGGATAATTTACCATTTGCATTCGCAAACTGTCTGAAACCAGGAAAGTGCATTTACTGTTACTCTTACAAGGTTTTCTAGCCTGTCCAGTTAGATAGAGTGGTCTATCATGTCAGATCTTCAAATGTAGCACAAAGATCAAGCAGAACAAGCAAATATTTGTTTCTTCAGTCAAAGGATAAAAAGACATGCAGTAAGTATCTTTCTGTAGTCTATGAGACTATCCTTTCAGGCAGAATGGAAAACTTCTAGATTAGTCAAGTGCTATTTATGATTTCATTGTCTGATAATCTATACCATGGGTCAAGCTTTTTCTGCCTTGATCCTTTACTTTTTAGTGGATCTTTATTATCTAGACTAGAACAAGAAGTATCTTTTAAGCATTTGGGCATAATATTTAAATCGGTACGTTCAGATGGACAGCTGACAGGAGGTTTGAATAAAGCTACTAGCTGTGGAGAATGTTCTAGTATGCTTGACATGATGTGGATGAACATTTATTACACCTAAAGTGGATTTCGTAGGAGATTAGTTAATGACTTAAGACTGCTTTGCTCTGGAGGTGAGTGGCTAGTTCTGTGTGTATACCAAGGGTTAAAATGAAGTTAAGAGTGTGTAAATTGGACATTGATAAAACTATGCTGATGTTGATTAGATTAGTAGAACAAACTATTCAAGGTTTTCTGAATTATTTTTTAAATTAGGGAACAGATACAGTCTGAACTGAGTGGACCAAATTTAGATGCAAACCAGATCATAGATTTCTTTTTGAATAACCTGCTATAAATTTCTATACCTTGGCAAACTAGCTCTCTGCCTTCTTGTGAGGAAAGCTTGTGAAAATGTGGGATCAGGTCTATAATCAGCAGTCTCCTTTCTGAAAGAGATGGACCTCAGGAACAATAACCGGCAGGATTCAGGAGTGGAGCTTTTCTCTGCTTGACTGAAAAGTTCACCCTGTAAACTGGAGGCACTCAGTTGATCTTTCTGTTAATTTATTATTTATTGATAAACACTGTTATAGTTAATATATTTGTGATCAGTAGTAAACACCCGGGGGACGGGCGCATGCCACATTAACCTTTTTCAAATCACCCAAATGATTCTTTTATTTAAAGAAAACTTCCTCCCAGAATGTTTTAGAAATATTTTTAACTCTGAAATCCATCACTATTCCACCAGATCTCCAACAACATAAATCCTGCCTTCTTCAGAACGTCACTAAGCCAATTTACAATTTCATACAGAGGACCTTGTATCTGGAACTGTCTTTCACCCAACTTGAGAACTTGTAACAGTCGGAATTCCTTCAAAAGACTAGCTAAATACCACTTCAAGTTATTTACATATAATTTGAGTATATGTACTGAGTAAAAGAATAGATTTATTCCATTAGGAAATAAATAAATGAATAAATAATATATATCTGTACACTCCTCAGCTTGAGTTTGTATGCTGTTCATTATTTCACTGCCAATTCAGAATCAGAATCTCTTTATTCGACTGTGTCAGGTAAAGGTAAAGGAATTAGCAAGATGTATTAATGATATGTAAAAGCCTGTGTCAATTCCATTCATTATCTTCTAGCAAGAAATACACAATTCTTGTGTTTTTAGAATTTTTTTCTTTGTAGACTACTTTATGAACTAGTAGTGATTGTTTTGTTGTATTATTCATTTGAAAGACTGACTCTTGTTATCAAATTGACACTTCTGGTAACTTGAGCTACTAAAGTAAATGTTTTAGGACTATTTTTTATCAAAAATCACAATAACAGGGCTGAAACATGGCTAACAGGGTTAAAGTGATGAAAATTTTGTGTATATCATAATGCTTTTTTTCTTTTCTTTTTTTTTTTTTACAGCGGAACAGGTTTGGGTGACAGGGTTGTGCATAATATGTGAAATATAGTTAAAAATGACATTTTTTTGCTTAACTAATTAAACTAGAAAAAAGGAAATTTAAAAAAAGTTATACATTAAACTGTTTATAAAGGAACCGAATAACATTATAATTATGATGTCAGTTGGAATTTTGAATGAATACAGAAGTTCAGAGTCAGTGAGGTGTGACAGCCCAAGATCACCACATTAAAGGTGGATACAGACATTTTAAATGTTTTGTGATCATTTGAATGATAATTTTAATCATTTTATTTTAATCTAAAATGCAGACCCTTCACTGTTTACAAAAATAAAAAAAACAACAGTCGCTTATAAATTGAGTCATACAAACAGTCTTCCAACAATGTCTGACCGTCTGCTGCATTCATTTTCCATCAATTCTGACCAAATATCCTGTAGTTGTTTAGAATCTTTTTATTGAATGTGTTCAGTCATCATTATTCCATTATTTGTCATATTTGTGTAAATTCATAACTGCTTGAATGTGTTCAGTCATCATTATTCCATTATTTGTCATATTTGTGTAAATTCATAACTGCTGCAGTAAATAAACGGGCGGCCTCTTGTATGAACTTCTAGCCAATCGGAGCACAGGAGGCGGGGTTGGTCGGAATACGGGTGGGAATAGAAAAATAACGCCCTCAGATCCACAGCGGAGACGTCAACTGGGGGCGCTAGTTCTATACCGGCGGTTCTCTCAAGACAATAAAGTGTGGAGGAAGAAGAGCTGCGCGGTTTTAGAGGGAAACAGGAGCTGATCTGCTGAAGGTAAAGAGCTGTTTATCTCTTTTTCACTCTGTTTACACTGTTTATAACTCACTCTTGCAGAAATAGAGAGAAACAGGGGCTGATCTGCTGAAGGTAAAGAGCTGTTTATCTCTTTTTCACTCTGTTTACACTGTTTATAACTCACTCTTACAGAAATAGAGAGAAACAGGAGCTGATCTGCAGGACAGAGAGAGAGAGACACACACACGTCGTAGGTCCTTTAGAGGTGAGAACTGACAGAGATGAGGTGTGAATAGTCTGCAGACAGGGTGCTGTCAAGGTTAAAAAACATTGTTCCATATAGCTCCCTGATCATAGTTCACACTTGTTTCACATTCCTGAAAGGTGAATTTATTATTAAGATATTATATCTTCATTTGTATTTTTTTATTTCATATGGTCGCATCACTCCAATTGTTATTACTGCAAAATTACCTGAAATCCAGCATAAGCATAAGAGTCCAAGATCTGTTCTGGTCCAGTAAAATTTCAGTTGTATTAGAGATAAACTGCTGCCAGACCCTAAATAATTTTCACTAAGAGCATTTAATGCTTGTTTACATTTACACTGTGTTTATAACTCATTTTTACTGAAACAGAGAGAGAAACAAACTTCAATGTCTATCTGACAGATTTTCTTTGACTTTCTTTTCAGTTGATAAGTTTGTGCTTATATTCAAGTTTATTTTACTGCTTGTAGTTTTCTGTTAGGCTCATTTTACTTCAGTTATTTCTTTGAAGTGAATTTTTTTAGCTTTGAATGGGGGGGGCTGCTGGTTTAATTTGGGGTGGGGGTGGGGGCTACTGGTTTAGTTTGGGTGGGAGGGTTGCAGGTTCAATTTGGGTGGGGGAACTGCTAGTTTACTTTGGGTGGGAATGCCTTTGCCCCACTGTTCTTTAAGTAAGCATATTGCCCCTTTTAGAATCAGAATCTTTCCTGGCTGAGTACAGGATGAAGTTATTTCTCTTCATGCTGATGATAACTGAAATATTGTTCTTTAACAAAATCTTGTCATTTGTTACATCCCTGCAATTAGTACTTTGATGCAGCCTCACTTTGCCAACTTAACAGCAGTGAGTCTGCTCTCCTCCAATACTTGATCAGACTGGTGAACACAGAGCAAACAATGTGAGATCACTCAATAAAAATCTTTCCTGGTCCTGTGGGGTTCTAGCTCTTTTTTTTGTGCTCTCCTCTTGTGGTCAACTCTTTTTTAACCTCTTTTTGGTAGATTTGGAGATATATATTGGATCATTGCATTATTAAATATTTGATCATTTTCCACAGAGGGAGCCAGATTTTCATTTAAACACTGGGATATCATGGTTTCCATGATGCAGTGTCTGCTAGCAGGGTTCCTTGGGCCATTAGAGTGAAAAACATCACAGATCCTACTCTATACTAACTGCGGTGTAACTGTACTTAACATGGTGTTTTTTTCACTTGCATCCACTTCCATGCAGATTCACTACAGCTCTAGATGTTTTAAAATACTTAATCATAGTTCTAACAGTGGATATAGACTTTTTAGGAGTTTACATATTTTATTTTTGTAGCCATTGCCTGATCTATGAAGGCTGAATTTAGGTAAATTAAAGGTTATTTTTCCGTCATATGTTCCATGTCAGATTGAACTCATTAATTCACAAACATCATTTTTTTGTGATATTTATTATTTTTTTACACTTGACTCCAGGGTGTTAGCTCATCTTCTTTTGTGGACTCGTCTTTGTTTTGAAATGAGACTGGATAAGAGTGGAGAGTGTCAGTCAGGGTTGTAATGCACTGTAGTATGAGTGTATGAAACACTTCACGACTAGAGTTCAGAGCAGCTGGTCTGTAGACATCCAGACTGGAGATTATCTGTTTTTAAGGAACCACTATGATGACAGAGGTGTTGAAACAGGCAGGTGCAACACACTGGAGAGATAAAAACAGATAGAGGAGAGAAGTGAATAGTCTGCAGACCAGGATTCATCTTACCATAATACTTCATATCGTGGCTCTGCTGAAGGGAGACAGTACTAAGTAGAGAAGAATGAGCTCTCAGGAAAGATTAAAAAGTCTCACAATAAACATGTTAATGATGTCAACTGATTACTGATGTAGTTTAAGCTAAATTTCAAATAGACTGCACCACAAACACTAGTAATTTATTTAGACATCCATTTATTTACTAAGAACAAGTTAATAAGCTTGTGTGTTCTTGAGAAACTGACAATTCCAGCACTGTAGAGAACCACCTTTCATCTTTCAAGATCTGCCTGATTTAATACATGAACATGAGGCCATCCTCTTTCTCAGCCCTTAAAGTAAATTTATACATTGTACACTTACATTATTGTTTTAGTTGTTGTGTTTTGGAAAAACATATAGTTTGTCACTCTGCTTGTCTCTGTTAGTTTGTGGGTAATGTGGTCCATAAAGTAATAAGCTTTCACCTGCATGTAACCAGATAAGTCAACAGCACATATGTGGAGTAGTAGTCAACAGTGAGAAGATACATTTTCCTTTTTCAGTTACAAAATGTCTGTGGCTGTCATTTGCAGTAAAAAAGTGTATAACTTACGTTGTTACCTCTGTAAAATATTGTTTCAGAGACAAATGTTTCAATTTTTTCCATTATCTACTATAATTTCTGATTAACCAGTGTTTTAACCCTTGTTCTCCTCTAGAATGATCTCCTGCTCTAACTGACCAAGTGCTTTCCTGCACATATCGAAGCAACATCCACAAACACATCAAGAAGCTGCTAAAATTAATAAAGACTGAGTGTGAGAATATGATGTCTAGAAGCTCCAGTACTCAGAAAGCGTCCTCTGCTGCTGATCTCCACATGAACTCACCTCGCAAACCAACACAAAAGATTACAGGCAAAAACAGAGCTCACTACTGCTCAGAGTGTGGTAAGAGTTTTAGAACACCGAGTCATCTCCAAATACACCAGCGGTTTCACACAAGAGAGAAGCAGTTTCACTGCTCAGACTGTGGAAAGAGTTTCACTGTATTGAGTCATCTCAAAACACACCAGCGCATTCACACAGGAGAGAAACCGTATCACTGCTCAGAGTGTGGGAAGAGTTTTACAGAAGGTGGTACCCTCAAGAAACACCAGCGCATTCACACAGGAGAGAAACCATATCACTGTTCAGAGTGTGGGAAGAGATTTAGTCAACAGAGTCATCTCCAATCACATCAGCGCATTCACACAAGAGAGAAACCATATCACTGTCCAGAGTGTGGAAAGAGTTTCACTATACAGGGTAGTCTTCAAAGACATCAGCGGATTCACACAGGAGAGAAACCGTATCACTGCTCAGACTGTGGAAAGAGTTTTAGTCAACAGAATCATCTCCAAATACACCAGCGCATTCACACAGGAGAGAAACCATATCACTGCTCAGACTGTGGACAGAGTTTTAGAGAAAGTAGTGACCTCAGAATACACCAGCGCATTCACACAAGAGAGAAACCGTATCACTGTTCAGAGTGTGGGAAGAGTTTTATTCAACACAATCATCTCCAATCACATCAGCGCATTCACACAGGAGAGAAACCGTATTACTGTTCAGAATGTGGGAAGAGTTTTGCTGCACAAAATAGTCTCCAAATACATCAGCGCATTCACACAGGAGAGAAACCGTATTACTGCTCAAAGTGTGGGAAGAGTTTTGCTGTACAGAGCAATCTTCAAAGACATCAGCGCATTCACACAGGACAGAAACCGTATTACTGCTTTGAATGTGGGAAGAGTTTTAGAGAAAGTGGTGCCCTCAAGACTCACCAGCGGATTCACACCTGAAAGAAACTGCATAATTGCTCAGTGTGGGAGGAGCTTCAGTCTTTCAAATTCTAAGACACATGCATGATTTGATGTTTCAAAACCCCCTTATGATTAAGGGACACAACAGACTGTGTACTCTGCCTGGGAAAGGGTTACCTGGACCTACCCCCGGAGCCAGGACTAGGGGTAAAATACCTTGGCAAGCACCTGGTGGCTGGGGAGCCCACGTCACCTGGCCAGGCTCAGCCAAAAATGCAATGTGGGGGGACCAAGTGACACAAGATTCAGCATGGAAGACCAGTGCAGTGCCATATAGGCGGTCGGAGATGGCAGGGAGAACCTTGGTGCCACGGACCCCTGCGCTGGAAACTGGCTCTTGGCATGCGGAATGTAACCTCACTGGGGGAAAGAGCCAGAGCTTGTGCAGAAGGTTGAGAGGTACCAAGTAGATATCGCTGGGCTCATCTCCACCCACAACGCTTGCTCTGGAACCAAACTCCTTGATAGGGGATGGTCCCTCTCCTACTCAGGAGTTGCACAGAGTGAGAGGCAGTGGGTGGGTGTTGGGATATTCACAAGTCACCATCTGGCTGCCGTGCAATTGGAGTTTGTCCCGGTGGACAAGAGGGTTGCCTCATTGCAAATTAAAATCACAAGGAGGAAAACTCTGACTGTGTGTGCTTATGCACCAAATAACAGTTTGGAGTATTCAGCCTTCTTGGAGCGAGTGAGTGGGGTTCTGGAAAGGGCCCCACCCACAGACTCCATAGTCTTGCTTGGAGACTTCAGTGCTCATGTTTGCAATGACTGGGAACCCTGGAGGGGGTGATAGGGATCAGGGCCTGCATGATCTAAACTTGAATGGTGAATTGTTATTGGACTTCTGTGTTAGTCATGGATTGTCCATAACGAACACCAAGTTTGAACACAAGCACATTCATAATTGTACTTGATACCAGAGCTTCTTGGATCAAAGGTCAGTGATCGTCATTGCTGTTTTCTATTACCATTGCTGCATTAAATTAAACCCAGAATAAGACACAAAAAGCCACAGTAGATGATGTGACTTACTCTAAAAAAAAAAAAAACGTGTAACACAAACACAAGATTTTAGATAAACAGATGTGTTAATGGCCTGATACCTCAGTCAGTGCTATAGATGAATCTTTTCACCTTATATTTTTCAGCTTAAAATAGCTTTCTCGGTTTTGTTTGGATTTCCCAATATTTGAGTCTTTGGATTACTGGCTCATGGATTTTGTTTAAAATGCTTGTTGATGGATGCATGTACCTCTGCCTCGTCCAAAATGTCAGCATCAATGCTGAATGCAATTTGAGTGTTGCTGTTCAGGTCACAGGGCCACAAATCAGATATGTATGTGATCCAGAATTAAAAACAATCTTGCAAAGGCTGACATTATAGATCAGGCCTCTCAGTCATCAACCCAAGAACAACCTTGAATGTAAATAAAAAGTTTTTGCCTGCTTATTCTATCCAAGGTTGGCATGGTGATTTGTTCTGAGCTGCTGTGACACCATATATACACACGTGGACAAAATTGTTGGTACCCTTCTATTAAAGAAAGAAAAACCCACAGTGGTCACTGAAATAACTTGAAACTGACAGAAATAATAATAAATAAAAATTTACTGAAAATCAGCTAATGAAAATCAGACATTGCTTTTGACTTGTGTTTCAACAGAGTAATTAAAAAAAAAAACTAATGAAACTGGTCTGGACAAAAATGGTGGTACCCTAGAAAAGATTAAAAATAATTTGACCATAGGGCCATGTTAAACTAAGGTGTGTCCTGTAATTAGCATCACAGGTGTCTTCAAACTTGTAATCAGTCAGTCTGCCTATTTAAAGGGTGAAAAGTAGTCACTGTGCTCTTTGGTATCATGGTGTGTACCACACTGAACATGGACTACAGAAAGCTAAGGAGAGAGTTGTTTCAAGAGATTAAAAAGAAAATTATAGACAAACATGTTGAAGGTAAAGGCTGTAAGACCATCTCCAAGCAGCATGATGTTCCTGTTGCTACAGTTGCACATATTATTCAGAAGTTTATGAAGAATGGCGAAGAGCAAAGCATTGGACTATTCTGAAGTGGCCTTCTATGAGCCCTGATCTAAATCCTATTGAACATCTGTGGAAGGAGCTGAAACATGCAGTCTGGACTAGGCACCCTTCAAACCTGAGACAGCTGGAGCAGTTTGCTCACAAGGAGTGGGCCAAAATACTTGTGGACAGGGTGCAGAAGTCTCATTGAGAGTTACAGAAATCGCTTGATTGCAGTGATTGCCTCAAAAGATTGTGCAACAAAACATTAAGTTAAGGGTACCATCATTTTTGTCCTGGCCAGTTTTGTTAGTTTGTTTTTTAAAATTATTCTGTTGAACCATTTATTTTTACTTGTATCAGTTTTAAGTTATTTCAGTGACCATTGTGGGTTTTTCTTTCTTTAACGGAAGGGTACTAACAATTTTGTCCATGTGTGCATTACCCATAAGTTCAGAACTCTGTTGTCTCTTGTGTTCAAGGAATGTGCTGGGTTGTGACAAATCAGCGTCTTCTTATACATTAGGCCTAGGTTTTATCTTTGTTTCCTCAACCGATTTATTATGCATATATGTTAAAACTTTTGTTTTTTTATGTTACAGTTATTTGTAACTGTTCTGTTGGCCAATGATATGTACAACTCCACTTTTGGGGACTGTATAACCTTATTTAATTTGGCCTTTCTGGATTCATTCTTCTTCCCAGCTGTGACTTTAAATAAACATATTACTTTAATTTAATTGTTACTCTGTGGTATGCTTTAGTAGAGATGGCCACTGCAATGTACATTTTGCATTATTTTTGTCTTTTTATTACTTTAATTAAATTTTGTGAGTTATTAGTTGTGTATGTATCTTGTAGCAGAGATTTAAATAGACTAGGACAATCACTATGAGTAATCAAATTTCCTTCAGATGTTTAAAAAAAAGCTTCTATAATTCTGTTTCCGTGGTTTAGTCTTCTTAGTGTTAACCATCAAGTGTACCTCAAATATTTTTATAATAAATTGATTTCTGTTGTTGCATACTGTTAATAAACTGTCTCATTGTTAACTGGCAAGTGCACTTAATTCTGAGTCTATTTTGTTCTGGTGCCCTCTCTCTCTCTCTCTCTCTCTCTCTCTATATATATATATATATATATATGTGTGAGTGTGTGTGTGTGTGTGTGTGTATGTATAATTTTTAGTAATATTAATATCAACAACTCCCACATCTTCAACTGAAACATCATAATTTTTACCACTCTCAAGCTAAAGTGTATATGACTTCAACTGAATGCTCGTCTTTAACGTGTCTTTGCCTGTAATATCTTTTAGCATTATATAATAATAAAAAACCACCCCTCTCTTTGGAGAGGAAGGTCAGGTGTGCTACACTGACCACCTTTATGAGACACCTGCAAAGGACACGAAAAAGACCAAAAAGCTCAACAACTAGTGTAGAATATTTATCAGTATTTCTATTGCCACTATTATTGCAGTCCCAACAGGCTTCAGGAGGTGGGGGGTGCACTCATGCCATGCAGACTTGCTTTTGAAGTCACAGGGACACAGCGGATAAGAAACAAAGAGAGCAAGAGCAATAAAAATACTCTCAATAATAGCAACATGGTAAAAATGCTAAAAACTATTTTAAAAAGTACATAGATACTTATTTAAATGCATTGCATTTCACCGTTTGTAATTCTTTATCTTTTTTCTAGGTATCAACAGAGGATTTGGTTTCTAGCAGTATTCTGAGCTCAGGGGTAGTTTGTACCCCTGTTACCTATTTGTATTAGCTAGGATAAATTCTCTGAGTAGACAACAAAGCACTTTGAAATAGAGCATCTCGTAAATGCTATAAATGCAAAAGACAAATACTAAACAAAGCAATTATAGGAGAATAAGGAAAGTAAGAGAACAAAATAAAAAACACAGTAAACCAAAAATGGGCATAATAATAATTGTCCATTCAAAAAAGAAATGAACACATTAAGTGCTTTTGTGGAAACAAAATTTAATAGTGCTCACAGATTACAGATTGCATAACCCAAAAGCCATTCTTTTCAGCCACAGGCAACTGGATATAGCCACTAGCTGAACCCAGTATTCAAAATCACTGAGCGCCTCCCATGGCATTCGATCTCCTTAATTCTGGGCATCTATATTTATTTTGCCTTTGAACTGCCTATAGTCTATTTATATTCTTAGATCTCCATTTCTTTCTGCACGACAGTAACTGAGCCATTAAAATCAATACTTTACTGTTTCACTTGATTATCAATAAGCTGTTTGATTTAGGTTTTTAAAGCCTAAAGTGTAGGAGGAACTGTGAACTTTCATCAAGAACAGGTTTTTCATGGACAGTTTCATTGCTGCACCCTAATTATCTAATTTCTGGCAAATACCTGACTGTCCTTCTCTAATAGCTCTCTTTTATGCTTTTCTCCCACAAGTGAAAGCCCTGGCAAATACAAGCTGCATTGTTCTCTGAGCTTGAGATGGGCATCTGTTTTTTTCTTGTGCTAAAAAACAGTACTGAGACCAGCCCGACCTCTCTTCCCTTCCCTGTTAAGGTCCAAACAATACCCCTCTAGCTCATCAGCCCTGCTTAACATACCCAACACCTGCTTTAGTGGCAGAGTAGAACCTTGTATAATAAAGTATTTGAATGCTTGGCTCTGAAACTGTGATAACATGATTGTTACTTGTGTCTGTGGACCCATTAATGATTCTACTGAGGAGGGCTACTCATGATACTATGGTTTTAAAATTATGTTACACTAAACACTGTTTTTGTTTTTCTATTGTAGTTTTATGCTTGTATATTTTTATAAATACTATTAATTTACTTTATTTCAAATAATTTTTTGATTCTTCTTTGTCTGCTTGTTATTCTAAGATCTGTTGTGGATGCTAAGAACATCATCCACAGCAAGGCAAATTTATTTATATAGCAGTTTTTAATATATAGTGGCAATTAAAAGTGTTTCACACAGGTACAGAAAAATAAAATCATTAAAACATAATGCTTGTGACATCTTGCAGGCTAGCAACACAGAAAAGCATAAGCAAAAAATAAGTACAAAAATTAGATACGTTGCAGAGACAAAATACAGTAAAATGGAGAATTAAATAAGGAAATAAACATTTTAAAAACTATTGCCTAAAAAGTGCTGTCCTAAAAACAAAGGTACCTGTAGATAAAAATTGTAGATGGCCACATGTGGAGCAGATCTGACCTGATTTGGGACTTTGTCCCAGCAGTTAGCACTATAATGAGTGAATGCTGCCTCACCCTCTTTGTGTAGTGCCCTATTCTGGGCACTACTACCTGACTTACTTTTTGAGTGATCCGAAAGACCTATTGAGTTTGTATACTTCAAGCAGATCAACAATATATTCTGTTGTTAATTGGTAGCCAGTTCAGTGATTTGAGGGTTGGAGTAATGTGATTGGATATCCTTGTTCTCATAAGCATTCTAGCAGCTGCATTTTAAATAATATGTAATAAATATAATCTGACTGTGGTCCAGGGAATGCCAGTAAAGAGGCAATTGCAGCACTCCAGCCTGCTGGAGATAAATGTATGAATTAGTTGCATAATTAGTTACCCCATTGCTACCCCACCGGTCACAGTAATCAAAGATGGAGACAAAAAAAAAATAACAAAGCATGGTCAAAGTCTCCTGACTGTAGTAAAATAGTATCTTTGACAAACTTCAAAAGCCTGTTGGTATAAAATCTCTTGAAAGTCCTAGGCAGCACATCTAGCTCTCTGGTTTTTCTAGAAAACTTCCAACCCGTGGCAGTGCTGGAGATTCCTCTTCCATATACTGCCTGCAAGCATGATGAAGAGAATAGGGTCTCTCACTGCTGTACACATGTACCATAATACTCTATGACCATGAACTCGATGTACTCGATGCTGAATTTAAATGGTAACCGAAATAGGGTTGATCAAACTGGGCTGATATGGTCAAATGTTTTACTTCTTGTAAGGACTCTGGCTGTAGCATTCTGGACTAACTGTAGGTTGTCAAGGCTTTTGCTGGAACATCCAGGCAGCAGGGCATTACAGTAATCCAAACTTGAGGTAATAAAGTGTGAACTAGCTTTTCCACATCAGGTAGAGACAATGCATTTCTTAATTAGGCAATACTTCAAACATGAAGAAAACCTATTCTAGTAATATTGTTCATATTTGGACAGAAGGGTAGATCGAGATAAATCATGAAATCAAGGTTTTTGCAGATGTACCTGATGCAACTGAAAAGCTTTTAAGATTAAGCATTAATTTAGAAAGTTTGTTTCTAGCAGCTTTTGGACCAAGTAGAAGAACCTTTCTTTCATCAAAGTTGAGTAAATAGAAGTTACTTAACAATATGTCTTTTATGTCTGTTACACAGTTCTCAATCCTATTAAGGTGAAAGTTATCATCTGTTATCAGCATAGCAGTGGAAATGTTTACCATTTTAACTGATAATAGTACCCAATGGTAGCATGGATAACAAGAATAATAGAGGTCCTAAAACCACCTTGTGGAACACCATATTGTCAAAATTCAGCACTAAGATCAAGCAGAACCAGCAAAGATATGTATCCTTTCATCAGAGGAGACAGTGTATGATTTTCACTAATGATGCCTCTGTACTATGATGAGGCCTAAATCCACAAGAAAAAATTTTGATGTATGCAATTCTTATGCAAGTAGGAACTTGCTTGGTTTGCCATAACTTTTTCCAAAATAGCTATATAATTGGATAACTTACATGGATCAAGATTGTTTTTTCATTAGATGTTTAATTGATGCTAATTTAAGAGTTTTTGCTATATTTGCTAAGGCTACGAGATGCGTTTGTTATTCCTGGAAGAGGCTTGGTTATTTCTGGCAAAATTTCTTTGAGTAGGAAGTAATTTTAACTAGCTCAGTTTGTTGAATTAAGGTAAATGATTCCAACCTCTCTGTTGGAATTCCAATGTACTCAAGATCTGGACTTCACAGGGCAGCTTGTTTGTAGCAGTGCATTTCAAATTGTTTGCCTGATCTTCTTAATTTGATCACTGAAAGAAATCATGAAGTCATTGGTGCTGCAGGCTGATAGTATTTGTAATTCAGTAGCTGTTTGGTTCTTAGTTTACCAGTTGTGCAGAATGATATTCTAGGATTATTCTTTTTATTTTCAATCAGCGAGGAGAGAGAAGTTGAGCGTGCTGCAGTACGTGCCGTTCTATATTCTATAAAACTATCTGTCCAGGCAGATTGAAATACTTCTACTTCAATACCATTTACACTCTAGTTGTCGGTTTTAAGGCTTAATTATGATCCATTGTACAATGTGGGAGGTTTACTGCCTTATTGTTTTACTTTTTAGTGGAGCCACCTTATCTACAGTAGGAAGAAAAGTATCCTCTAAGCATTTGGTCATGATATCTAATTCAGTAGGTTGGACAGCTGATAGAAGTTGGTAGCTCTGCGAGGTTTTCAATAAAGCTACTAGCTATGGAGCATGTTATATTAAACTTGACACAATAGCGTTGAGATGAACATATATTAGGACTAAAGTGGATTTCATATGAGATTAGGTGTAATGATTTAAGACTGCTGTGCTCTGGGGATGAATGGGTAAATGATCTGTACTTACATTAAAGATTAAAATGAAATCAAGAATGTGTAAAATGCACATTGAACTAGACTCATGTTGATTAGATCAGTAGAACAACTTTTCAGTGTTTTCTGAGGTTTTGTTTAGTTTGGGGAACAGACTGTTTCAGTTGAGTGGAACAAAAGTAGATTTGAACATTATATTTATTTTCTTATTTTCTTTTTTTATTTTGATCAAACTTTTTGTTTGATCTGTTACAATTTCATTTTCTAGGCAGACTACCTACCTGTAATCTTTTGAGAAAAGCTTGTGAAATTCTAAGATGGGCTCTTCAATCAGAAATCTCCTCCTTGAAAGTGCTGGACCTCAGTAACAATAACCTACAGGATTCAGGAGAGGAGCAGATCTGACTTCATCTGGGAGTTTGTTCCAGCAGTTAGCAGCATAAGGACTGAATGCTGCCTCACCTTCTTTGGTTCCGATTCTGGGCACTTCTAACTGAGCAGTCCTGAGTGATCTGAGAGGCCTATTGGGTTTGTATACTTCCAGCAATTTAGTAGTGTATTTTGGTTCAAGGCCATTCAGAGATTTAACTACAAGAAGAAGCACTTTAATGTCAATTCTGTTGTTAATTGGTAGCTAATGTTGTGACCTGAGCGTTGAAGTAATGTGCTTGGATCTCTTTGTTCTTATAAGCATTGTAGCAGCTGCATTTTAAATAATATGTAGCTGTCTGACAGTGGTCCAGGGAATGCCAGGGGTAGCTAATGTACATAAGGTACCCCACTGCTACCACACTGGTGACAGCAATGAAAGATAAAGATAATAAAAATACCAAGGCAAGGTCAAAGCCTCCTCACTCTAGTAAAATTGCATCTTTGACACACTTCAAAAGCCTTTTGGCATAAACTGTCCTGAATGTTCCAGAATGTAGGTCCAGCTTTCTGGTATTCCTGGACAAATTTCCAACCTGTGACAGTGCTGGAGAGCCCTCTTCCATCTACTGCATGCAAGGGTCATAATGAAAATAGGGTCTCTCACTGCTGTACACATTTACCATAATACTCTATGACCATGATCCCTCAGATATGCACCTTTGAAATTTGTACTCAATGTTGAATTTAAATGGCAACCAAAGTAGGGTTGATTAACCTGAGCAGATATGGTCAAACATTCTGTCTGATTAAGAGCTCTGGCTGCAGCATGCTAGACTAACTGTAGCTTCTCAAGGCTTTTGCTGCAACAGCAGGACATTCAGGTGTGAACTAACTTTTCAAACATGAAGGAAAAGCATTCTAGAAATATTGCTTATATATGCATTTAAGGACAGATGAGGTTTTTAGCAGATGTACCTGATGCAACTGAGATGCTATAAAGATTGAGCATTAATTTAGATTAATTAGATAGAAATTATTTGACATTCAGTCTTTTATGTCTTTTACTCAGTCCTCAATCTTATTATTATAAATAAATAATAATAAATCAACCACAGGTGATTGGTCAGAATCACAAGTCCAAGTATAAGCTTGATCCTTTTATTGAAGGGTTTCCACTACCACACAACTTGAACAGGGGAACTTCTGAACTCTATAATAAACATTAGGGAATTAACATGAAGTACAATAATATAGGTGTCAATACTTAGTTTAACCCCTTGTGTGGCTGAGCTAATTTGATGTTTTTTCTGGCTCTGATTTCCCCCTTTTTCTGTTAGTGCCATCTATCGGTGATCTCCCACACCAGTGATAGCGAGCCCTTAAAAATAGAAATGGGTGGAATGTGTTTATTTATCCCTTCAGATTTTGAATTGAAATCTGACGTCATAATTTTGAAGTACCATCATAATTTTTAAGTATCGTCATAATTTTTAAATACTGTATTACCATCATACTGCCCAATCCCAATCTCTTTTATATTGTAGTTGGCACACAGAAGTAACCCGTTGGCATACAGAAGTAAATGCTGTGTTGAACTTTTCATTGGTTTATAAGTTTATTTATTTGCTTATTTATTTTGACTTGTCACTGCGGGTGGAGCGTTGAGTCTCAAGTTCCAGTGAGTATCCCTTATAAGCTTAGTTATTAGCTTAGTTATACCGTATTAGCTTTAGTGAAAGTTGTATTAGGCATATGAGAATGTTTGTGGCTTTGAACATGTTATGTTATAACTAGTTTAACTTAAACTGGTGCAACTGATTTTGCTTGATTTTTTGGGCCAGCCAAGAAGAGGCTTTTTTTGCTCACTGACTGATGAACTTTGCTGAAACATGCATGCACAAGGAGTGTAGCTAGTCCTCAGTAGGTGGCGGTAATGCACCGTAAGTTAGCCTGTCAACTGCCATTCATCCAAAAGAAGAAGACCTGGGGCCTGGCTTCTATGGCTAAACAGCATTAGGCAAGCTAAAGTTCGGGCTGCATGCTGTGGGTTGCTGTGAGCCAACAAAATGTTCAATGTGAGCTGAGGGAGTTCTAGTGGCCAAGTTCTGGGAAACTTTATCTCTCACATTATCAGTTTAAATATAGAATATGAATTAACATCTTTTCCGACTGCTCAACAGACTACCACAGAAATGTGAAGGATGCCACCACAATGCGAATGACAGTCACTTAAAGGTGCAGTAAGTGATTACAAACCAATACGCTTTTTGTCAAATTCAGTGAATAGCTCCACACTATCCACTAGCTGCCTGTTCTGCCTGCATGCTGGAAAAAGCCCAGCAGGCTCTGTAAACAGGAAACAAAGTGACTCAGATTGAATGACACAACACTGATCTAGCCAGTCATCAACTGGGGGCATTTGTGACGTATAATTTTTAAATACTCTTATTACATGTTAACTTAAAATATATATATATATATATATTTAAATAGTTTTATTTATTTATCAAGTACTGCATGATGCTGCAATGACAACAAACTCATGATCTTACAGTGAGTGTGTTCAACATCCTGTGAATGTTTTGTATTGTCTGAATAGATTTCAGGGAGCAGTACAGAGTAACAGCTCCATGATGGAGCTTCATCACTCCAGCAGTGGAGGGGGAACCTCTAGTCTAAAGTGAGTAACTTCATATGAGCAAAGTGTTTTCTCTTATGCTCATGTTAAATGAGGCTTAGTAAAGCTTCTCATCATGCTGTCAGGTTAAAGCGTGCTGGATCTCCTGAGCTCAGCTGTGTATCTATGAAGAGTGACTGGTCCATGCCTGAGCCTCCTGCATTCAGCAGAAAAGGAGGAGAACCCAGCTATATGTCTAAGAAGAGTGACTGGCCCATGCCTGAGCCTCCTGCATTCAGCAGTGGAGCAGGAAAATCCAGTTGTGTGTCATTGAAGAGTGATTGGTCCATGCCTGAGCCTCCCTCATTCAGCAGAGGAGGAGAACCCAGCTGTGTGTCTATGAAGAGTGACTAGTCCATGCCTGAGCCTCCCTCATTCAGAGGGTGGGGAGAACTGAAGAACAACATTTCTTGTTGTTCTATGACTGTGACATTATATCTCAGCAGTGGAGAAGGACAGTCCAGCATGTCCAGTCACTGACCATGTGGTATGATCAGTAATCTTTAGAAGGGGCTAATGCTAAAATAATAAACAAAACTTAAATCTAAGAAGTGGTCATGAAAGCTAACTAACCTAACAAAAGAAAAAAAGCAAATACGTACAAGTACTATTCCCCATCTCACTAGCTGAATCAAAAACAGGAGAAAAAGTAAATTAATAAAAAGAAATGGCACCCACCCCTACACCCTGTCATTGTAAATAAGTCAGAGAATTGTACATGGTTACTAAGCTTAGTTGTGTTCTAGGGTTCAGTAACAGTTGGCTCTGCTCTAAAATCACAGGTATGATGACCAGAGTGTCTTTCTCTAAAACAAACAGCTCAACCAGTAAAAAGAGGCAGACAGAGTGTTGCTGCACAAATGACCACATTATAAAGGTGAAAGTGTCCAATCAGACAGAGCTGCAGCTGGAGAGTCGCTCCAGACCCACTGTGGAGAGAAAAACCTCTGCCTCAGACAATCCAGTCAGTTCAGAAAAGGTGTCACTCACCACCGACATAAAACACAGAGAGTGAAAAAGAAAAAGAGAGAATCAGACAGAATAGAGAGAGAACAAAATAAACATACATAATTTGGGTGTAACAGGAGCAATAATCTTTAAGTGTAACACAAAATCATAATTATCAGACAGAAGCCCACTCAGAGTTTCTTAGTTCCCCTGAATTGTTAAATTTGGCAGTTGTTAAATATGTGAAAGCACTGAAAATAATATTTTGGTAAGTAAGTAATCTAGGCCACGTAGCAGTGCCTGAAGGAGTTTATTCTCACTGAACCTTCAGAATTTTTAATGTTGTTTGTTTCTTAATGTAAACCTGACTCACACCTGTAGAAGGGGCTGTTGAAGTACAAATGAAGTACAAATTACATTTAAGTATAATTCAATTATAATTACATGAGAATACTACATGTGACAATGTAGCTTTTTCAGTGAGCTGCATTATGAGCAATTATTATTATTTGTGTTGATGTTTGTGTTACTGTGTTTGACCCCATCAGGCAGCGCTCCACAGAAACTGATCTGCAGATAAACACTCTATTGGTGGAAAGGATTCTTACCAACCAATGGATGATGATCTACACAGAGTCTTACAGAGACACAAAACCAGCATGAAGAACAAGTACGAGAGCTTATTTGAGGGAATCAGAACAGAAGAGAATAAAACCCTCCGGAACAGGATTTACACACAGCTCCACATCATAGAGGGAGAGAGTGAATGAGTGAATTAAGAACACGAGGTTCTACAGATGGAGAAAACATCCAGGAGACGCTTACAAGACTCTCCAATCAACTGCTTAGACATCTTTAAACCTCTACAAGGTTCTAAACAAGATAAGAAAGAAGAAAACTTTAGAACTGTGAGAGCTGAAGGTGACAGACAGAAAGCAGGACAAGAATTAAAAGAGCCAGAGCTCAGAGCTGTTCTGACTAAAGGCATCGCTGGAATTGGAAAAACTGTCTCTGTGCAGAAGTTCATTCTGGACTGGGCTGAAGGAAAAGCCAATCAGGATGATTGTGCTTCCGTTCCGGGAGCTAAACCTGATTAAAGATGATCAATACAGTCTTCATGGACTTCTGTGTGACTTCCATCCTGAGCTCAAAGATCTGGACCCAAAGATTTATGATCAGATCAAAGCTGTGTTTATATTTAACGGTCTGGATGAAAGCAGAATTCCACTGAACTTCTAAATAGTGTGAGAAAGTCTCTGACATCATCATGACATCATCAGTGGGTGTGTTGATGACAACTCTCATCAAAGGAGAATTGCTTCCCTCTGCTCTGATCTGGATAACCTCCCGACCAGCAGCAGCCAATCAGATCCCTCCTAAATACATCAACTGCGTGACAGAAATTCAGGGATTCCGTGGACGTCACTGCAGGCCCGCCTGCCTCCATTCCTACACCGTTACAATCATATAAAGCAATGACCAGATTAAAGATCAGGTTAAAAAGATAAAGACCAAAGAGCCGTATAATTTTAATAAAACGCTGAGTTTTCAGATGTTTATTAAAAATGAGCTCTGAGCTTGACTGTCTAATAAAAGGTGAACTGAGCTCCACAGTTTAGAAGCAGAATAACTGAAAGAGTCTCTCCACGTTTCCTGTATTTTACTGAAGGCATTTGCAGAAGATCAGTATCTGCAGATCTAAGATCGTAAACAAACACACATGTCATTTAGAGCTTTAAAAACCAGCAGCAGAGCTTTAACCTCTCTCTAAAAGATCCAAGCAGTCAGTGCAGTGTGTGAACAGGGTGATCAGCATATCAACAGAGTCTTGATCACACACACACATTATCTAAGCCATCTATCCTTCTGCGGAGGCAGCTGAAGCTTATCCCAGCGGTCATTCGGTGGAAGGCTGGAAATACCCTGGATAGTTCACCAGTTCATCACAGGGCAGACACAGAGATATACATTTACACACATATACACACCTAGGGGCAATTTGTTTTGATCATCAGAAGGAATGGAAATGTAGAGTTGTGTGTTGTCAGCATAGCTATGAAAATTGATATGTTTCCTAATGACATCACCTAGAGGTAATGTGCAAAGAGAAAAGCAAGGCCCTAAAACGGAACCCTCTGGGACTCCACAAGAAATGTTAAATCTCTTCGATGAATGATTTCCAGTTAAACCACAAACTGTCTGTTAACTAAATATTACTTAAACCATTGTAAAATTGTGTCTGAGAGACCTAACCAGAATTCAAGATAACGGATTAGAACTTGTGAACAACAATATCAAAAACTGCACTTAGATCCAATAAGTGTTACTGGATGGTAAGGGAGTGGACCCAAATGCAGAGAGGAAAACATGTGAGTATTGGGTTTTTATTGAGTCAAACAGATGTGTTGAATGATTTGTTATAGTGGGTAATGGTAATGGGCTGGAGTGTGATGATTGTGTACTTAAGCATTCTAAGCCATTACCACTGCTCCACCAGGAGACACAGGAAGAGGATTACATTACATCTCTTAGGATTTTAGGTGGAAAAATGTCAGGAAAAGGGAAAACAAAGGAGACTCTGAAATGGGCAAACAAAGGCAAACATACTCTAGCATTGCGCCAAGCATGCTAGAGTATTTTAGAGACCCAAATAACCTTTTCTCTTTAAAGGGTTTATTCTCTGTTGATATTGCACTTTATAATCAAGTAATCCCTTTAGTACCTTCATATATTGCACACAGAAATCAATAATTCATAGATTTGCTGCAGATGTAGGAATATTACATAAAATCTAAATTTTGCACTGACAAATAAACTGAAATATGAAAATAACTTCCCCCAGTAATTGAATGTGTTGTAGTAATTAATTAAGATGAGGTCAGTTAGTTTAAATTGAAATATTAGGTGTTGTCAGATTATTCATTTTACTAGCTGACTAGTCACTCATAAAAAATAGTCAACTTGTCATCATATCCATATTTAAAAGGTTGGTAATAAGGGCTGGGAGGCAGATGCTGCAGCTGGAGATGTGAGATTTTTACTACAGAAATGCTTTTGTTGTATTCCAATCTCAGACACTCTGCATACAGGAGAACACGGACTGTCTGCTGAAATCTCCAAGCAGCTCTTTAGATGTGCCTTAAAAAGTGAGATGTAGGCCTAGAAATCATTCATACTGTCCTGTTTTAAGAAGGTATTACTGAAACCAAGGGCACCACTGTCTTCTGTTTTCCTCTTCCTGCCTCTTCACTGCAGTCCTTACCTTTACCCGGTTCTCTGTATTTTTTCCATTCAGTCTAGATGTGTAACGTAACTGTCATGTATAAATTCATGCAGACAGTTTTAATAGTTTGCACTGTTCTTTGAGACAAAGTCAGTTCTAAACAGTTCTAAATAGATTTAGTGTGTATGTTTTGAACCAAAACATTTGCAGTTTATTGCCATCAATAACAAAACATAACAGTATTCGATCCTGTTTAGAAGCCACTTGATTGATCATTTCTATGATATTTTCCTCTTTTGACTGTGGCTGTGGATAGAATTACTTATTACTTTTGATACTGTATTGATATAGTCTTTTTAATGTTTTTGCTCAGTTTTTACTACAATACTTTTCCATTCTTAAAATAAGTAACTATTATTTCTGCTTGTTTTTCTTTGATGTAGCTCCCAAACAGGTGCTGAATTTTGGTCATTGACATGCGTTAGCTTATTAACATGGCTTTTAACATACCTTTTAACATTAACATGTTTTGCTTGAGTTTTACCTAGGACACATGCAAAATACCTCAGTGGTATAGAAAGACTGGTGCTCTAATCAGCAGCATGGTGACTTTATGGACAAATTCATTACCAAAGTCCAAATTTTGTATTGCGCAGTGTGGCCAGATTCAAAACCCAAAGATCAAGTCATTAAAGAAAAAAAAAACTTGATCTCCCTTTCTCCATTTTACCTATTCTGTGTGCTGTGTTTGTTATTCCTTTGCAGATTAGCTGCCTGTAATCCCACCAGGGACTCCTGTGAAACTCTTTGCTCTGTTGTTCAGTCAGCGAACTTCCTCCTGAGAGAACTAGACCTCAGTAACTATGACTGGACTGAAGAGTTCACACTGTAAACTGGAGACACTCGGGTGAGAATTCTGTAAATCAGATTTCAAATTATAATTATTAAGATCTGAAATGTAGTAACATTGTAGCATTGGCAAAGAACAAGAAGATGTGGGGAGCACAGCACTTAAAGCGAATGCTTTTTTAATGAATATAGCAGCAGAAAAGGCCCGCTGATCAGCACCACTCAATGGCTGGGACAGCAGGCAGGTGATATCTATCCATACAAATTCTACATGATGGTAATCACTAACACTGCTCAGCTTCCCCCACCTCCCTTCACAGAGTACCACATACAAGACATGCACATCTTTAACAGCAATTTATTTTCATGTCCTTGAACCCATGCATGTCCATGGTCAATCGCGGGTTGTGGTATACAGTTCAGTTAACAAGAACTTCACAATATTAACAGTTTAATGGTCTTCATTCTGCATTTGGAGACAGGAAGGGTAGCAAGGGGAGGGTCAAATGTTCTGGATGTTGTAGAGAAGAAACCTGTATAAACATGTCAGGTTTGCAACATGTGCTGATAAAGATAACTGATTGTCCTACACTAAACCAA